CCCCCACTGCTTGCATACTCTCTTTCAAAAATAAATACATAAAACAAAAAAGTAATGTTATACCAAATTAATATATTTATATGTTTTTATGTGAGCTTGATAAGCTTTGTTGAAATTTCAAAACTTCTCATAACACCAAGCTGCTGAAGTACCAAGCTAAATTCTGTTGTTTGATGCAGTGAATATGAATCTATATCATGAAAAGTGTATTATTTTTTAACTTTTTTTTTAAGACAGGGTGACTCATCTGTTTTTCTTTAAGAAGGAGAGTAAAAGAAAAGTCAGTTCCCATTAAAAGTACTAGAATATATAAGGCACTTGGGTGGCTCAGTCAGTTAAGTGTCCAACTTCAGCTCAGGTCATGATCTCACGCTCCTTGAGTTCAAACCCCGCGTTGGGCTCTGTGCTGACAGCTCAGAGCCTGAAGCCTGCTTCAAATTCTGTGTCTCCCTCTCTCTCTGCCCCTTCCCCTCTCATGCTCTGTCAATCTCTCTCTCTCTCTCAAAAATAAATATTAAAAAAAATGAAAAAATAGTGCTATAATTTCTAAACTATTTTTCTGGAAGTTACAAATTATTCTAAAATCCTATTAGCTAAGAAGGTATCAGATTGATTATTTAAGTATTTCAAATTGCACTAGGATTAAAGTAGATGATTGAGACTCTTAGGTTGTAATCTGTCCATCCATCCACATCCATCCATCCATCCATTCATCCATATAGTCCTTCAATAGGTGCTTTCCTTGGCAGTGAGTATACAAAAAAAAAAAAAAAAAAAAAAAAAAAGGACTACAGTCTGACATAGAAGTTAATGATGTAAACAAATAATTATCATACATGAGGTGTCATAACTTGCATGGGTAGTACGTAGATTAGAACAGTGCATGTTCTCTGAGGCCAAAACATTTCAAGAAGAAGGTGATGTTAAGATGAGTATCAGAGAATGAACATGAGTTTACAGGCAGGTGAAGAAAGTATCTGAGTGGAAAGTCCTCTGAGTAGTGTTGAATATTCAAAAGCAGAAGGAAAGAAAAAATATAGTGTGTTTAGGGAACCACAAACTTATTGGTATTTTGGGAGAATGGGCTATAAGGAATTGTTTGAGGAATGGGGTGTGAGGGGCTATGAATGTTACATTAAAGGGTCTGGACCTTATTGTGGAGGTGATGAGGTATTATTAAGGCTTTGAGCAGAGAATGAATTGCTCAGAATTTTGCCTTTAAAAAGATCTCACCAGTGACAGTATGGAAGATGAATTAGAAAAAGGAGGAACTGGAGGTACTGGGTTTTGTAAACATATTTCTGTTCTTCATATAGAATGTCTTATGTCCTTCCATATCAGCCTATATTCTTGTGAAGTTCTTTAATCTGGGAGATGTAAAGTTTAATACTTTTAAACAGCTCTCTCAGGACTTTCTTAATTATGGTCATTATTATGTTTAAAACTCATTTGTCCGGATTTTTTTAATTCAAAAATTTTGGTTATTAGTTTTAACAGTTTTATTGAGATATAATTTACATATAATTCATTCATTTAAAGTATACAAGTCAACAGTTTTTTAGTATATTCCCAGTTATGCAACCATTACCATAATCAATTTTAGAACATGTCTATCAGCCCCAAAAGAATCCATGTCCATTAGCAGATACTCCCTATTTTATCCACTACCAATTCCAGCACAGGGTAACCAGTAATTTACTTTCCGTGTCTACAAATTTGCCTATTCTTGATATTTCCTGTAAATGGAGTTATACAAAATGTGGCCTATTTTGACTGGCTTTTTTCATATACCACGTTTTCAAGATTCATTCATGTTATAGCATGTATTCGTACTTCATTCCTTTTTATTGGCAAATAACATACCATTGTATGAATGTACCATATTCGTTTATCCATCCATCAATTGATGGACCTTTGGGACAATGTCCAAACACTGTTCAAACAATGTCCAAAGAGTGGAAACAGTTTTTGGCTGGTATGAATAATGCTATGAACATTCATTTACAAGTTTTGGTTTGGACATGTTTTCACTTCTCTTGGATATATACCTAAAGGTGTGACTGTTGAGTCATATGGTAACCTTTTATTTAACATTTTAAGGAGCTGCCAAACTATTTTCCTTTTTTTTTTTAATATGAAATTTATTGTCAAATTGGTTTCCATACAACACCCAGTGCTCATCCCAAAAGGTGCCCTCCTCAATACCCATCACCCACCCTCCCCTCCCTCCCACCCCCCATCAACCCTCAGTTTATTCTCAGTTTTTAAGAGTCTCTTATGGTTTGCCTCCCTCCCTAACTTTTTTTTTCCTTCCCCTCCCCCATGGGTTCCTGTTAAGTTTCTCAGAATCCACATAAGAGCGAAAACATATGGTATCTGCCTTTCTCTGTATGGCTTATTTCACTTAGCATAACACTCTCCAGTTCCATCCACATTGCTACAAAAGGCCATATTTCATTCTTTCTCATTGCCAAGTAGTATTCCATCGTGTATATAAATCACAATGTCTTTATCCATTCATCAGTTGATGGACATTTAGGCTCTTTCCATAATTTGGCTATTGTTGAAAGTGCCACTATAAACATTGGGGTACAAGTGCCCCTATGCATCAGCACTCCTGTATCCCTTGGGTAAATTCCTAGCAGTGCTATTGCTGGGTCATAGGGTAGATGTATTTTTAACTTTTTGAGGAACTTCCACACTGTTTTCCAGAGTGGCTGCACCAATTTGCATTCCCACCAACAGTGCAAGAGGGTTCCTGTTTCTCCACATCCTTACCAATATCTATAGTCTCCTGATTTGTTCATTTTGGCCACTCTGACTGGGGTGAGATGGTATCTCAGTGTGGTTTTGATCTGTATTTCCCTGATGAGGAGTGATGTTGAGCATCTTTTCATGTGCCTGTTGGCAATCTGGATGTCTTCTTTATAGAAGTGTCTATTCATGTTTTCTGCCCATTTCTTCACTGGATTATTTGTTTTTCGGGTGTGGAGTTTGGTGAGTTCTTTATAGATTTTGGATACTAGCCCTTTGTCCGGTATGTCATTTGCAAATATCTTTTCCCATTCCGTTGTTTGCCTTTTAGTTTTGCTGATTATTTCCTTTGTAGTGCAGAAGCTTTTTATCTTCATGAGGTCCCAGTAGTTCATTTTTGCTTTCAATTCCCTTGCCTTTGGGAAATTGCTGCGGCTGAGGTCAGAGAGGTTTTTTCCTGCTTTCTCCTCTAGGGTTTGATGGTTTCCTGTCTCACATTCAGCTCCTTTATCCATTTTGAGTTTATTTTTGTGAATGGTGTAAGAAAGTGGTCTAGTTTCATTCTTCTGCATGTTGCTGTCCAGTTCTCCCAGCACCATTTGTTAAAGAGACTGTCTTTTTTTCCATTGGAGATTCTTTCCTGTTTTTGGTCAAATATTAGTTGACCATATATTTGCGGGTCCATTTTTGGGTTTTCTATCCTGTCCATTGATCTATGTGTCTGTTTTTATGCCAATACCATACTGTCCTAATGACTATAGCTTTGTAATATAGCTTGAAATCTGGAATCGTGATGTCTCAACAAGATACTACTAGGAAATCAAACACAACAGTACATTTAAAGAATTATTCACCATAATCAAGTGGGATTCATTCCTGATGGCAGGGCTGGTTCAATATTCACAGATCAATCAACGTGATACACCACAATAATAAAAGAGAGGATAAGAACCATATGATCCTGTCAATAGATGCAGAAAAACTATTTGACAAAATACACCATGAATTTTTGATAAAAAGCCTCAACAAAGTAAGGATAGATGGAATATACCTCAACATCATAAAAGCCATATATGAAAGACCTACAGCTAATATCATCCTCAATGGGGAAACCTGAGAGCCTTTCCCCTAACACCAAGAAAAAGACAAAGATGCCCACTTTCACCACTACTATTTAACACAGTACTGGAAATCTCAGCTTCAGCAATCAGACAACAAAAAGAAATAAAAGGCATCCAAATTGGCAATGAAGAAGTCAAACTTTCACTATATACAGGCAACATAATACTCTATTTAGAAAACCTGAAAGACTCCACCAAAAAATTGCTAGAGATAATACATGAATTCAGCAAAGTTGCAGAATATAAAATCAATGTGCAGAAATCTGTTGCATTCCTATACACCAATAATGAAGCAGCAGAAAAAGAAATAAAGGAATTGATTCCATTTGCAATTGCACCAAAAACAATAAGACAATTAGGAGTAAACCTAACTAAAGAGGTAAAAGATCTGTATTCTGGGGGCGCCTGGATGGCGCAGTTGGTTAAGCGTCCGACTTCAGCCAGGTCACGATCTCGCGGTCTGTGAGTTCGAGCCCCGCGTCAGGCTCTGGGCTGATGGCTCAGAGCCTGGAGCCTGTTTCCGATTCTGTGTCTCCCTCTCTCTCTGCCCCTCCCCCGTTCATGCTCTGTCTCTCTCTGTCCCAAAAATAAATAAAAACGTTGAAAAGAAAAAAAATTAAAAAAAAAAAGATCTGTATTCTGAAAACTATAGAACACTTATTCAAGAAATCAAAGAGGACATAGGAAATGGAAAAGCATTTCATGCTCATGAATTGGAAGAACAAACATTGTTAAAATGTCCATACTACCCAAAGCAATCTACACACTTACACATTTAATGAAATTCCTATCAAAATACCACGATCATTTTTCACAGAGCTCGAATAAATAACCCTAAAATTTGTATGGAACCACAAAAGATCCCAAATGACCAAAGCAATTCTGAAACAGTAATATAAGATTGTTTAAATAAATTATGTCACATCAGTTTGTGGTAGACTGCAAAATAGCCACATTTCTTCAGATTTTCCTCTATCCAAGCCCTTTGCTCCATCATTTTGCTGTGCTCTCCCAGTGTGGGTGGGGTGTAATTCTCTACTGTTTGGCCTTACTTAGCATGCGATTTGCTTTGGTTGATAGTATGTTGACAGATGTGATACAGGCAGTATTTTTAAAGGGACTTACCTGTTTTAGGTAAGTGCTTCTATAGTTATTAAAAGAAGAACATGCCTAGGCTGTTCTGTTTATCTTAGGAGGAAGGTAGTAGCCATTTGGAGAAGAACTGTCTTCAAATAAGGTGCCCCAGTCAGGCCCAGCCTAGAATAGAGAACACCAGTCAATTTCTAGAAACACAACTAAGTCCAGATTAGCAGTGCTTGCCAACCAAGTCCAACCCAGATTATCCAATCCTGCAGATGCATACACTATACATACAAAGAATTATTGTTTCAAGCCACTGAGTTCTGAGATGGTATATTACACAGCAATAGATAGTTGATACACTATGTAATCGATACCATCTACCCAGAAAAGAGTTCATTATTATATTAATAAGCAATAGTCTCTGAAATTTATTTTACAGTTCAATTAAGTGCAGAAAAATGTAAAGCATCCCATCATTTGTGAAAATAAATTTGCATACATACGCATAAGATATGACTAGAAGGATACACAAGAAAAGGTGATAAAAGTTGGTTGTCTGTGGAAAGGTTAGCTGGATAGTTGAGGGACAGGAGGAGTGGAAAGAGACTTTTCCCTTGTATACCTTTTTGTCATTTTTAAAATTTCAGCTGTTTAAATGGATTATGTACATTAAAAAATAAGTTAAATTACTTTTTAAAACTGAGGCTATTCCTGGTGCTTCAAATTCTCCTAGCAAGTAACAGAGCAGAAAAAATATCTGAAATTAGTTAGATTTTTCTTTCTTTACAAATGCCAATTTTTTTTGCTTAGGTGATTACTGGATTCTTTACTTCTCCCTTAAATCATGAGTATCAGCATCTGTCTAGGTGCACAACTCTAGTTTATTATTATTTCTTGGTAGTTGGAATATATGTGTGAAGAACTCTTAACTGAAACTCAATCACATGAAAACAAACAGCCCAATGTAGAAAATGGGAAAATGAATTGATCAGACACTTCATGAAAGAAGACATACCAGTGGCAAATAAGAGCATTAAAAAGGTGCTCAACATCACTGACCAATTAAAAGTAAAATGAGATACTACTACACACTTTTTAGAATATCTAAAATTAAAAAGTCTAAAACCATGTTAAGTATGTGTTGGAAAGATGTGTTGGAAAGATGTGGACCAACTGGAACTCTTCTTCACTGCTGGTGGTGATGTAAACTAGTATAAACATTTTGGAAACCAGCTTGGCAATTCCTGACAAAGTTAAAAATGCATCTACCATATGACCTAATGATTCCATCTCTTGTTATTTACGCGAGAGAAATGATAGCATATGTCCACACAAAGACTTGAACACGGTTGTTCATCAGAGCTTTATATGTGATAGCCCCCAACTGAAAACAGACTGAATATCCATCAATAGGTAAAGGGATAAACAAAATATCATATACCTGTACCATGGAATACTATTCAGTTAAAAGAAAGAGAATAAATTATTGATACTCATAACAACATTGGTGAATCTCAAATTAAGAATGCTGAGTGAAAGAAGCCAGATAAAAAAGAACACATACTATATAATTCCATTTAAATAAAATTCTAGAAAATTCAAACTCATTTATAGTGACAGAAGTGAAATCAGTGGTTGCCTGGGGATAGGTTTGTATGGAGATGACATGTAGATGGAGGGATTATTAAGTCATGAGGAAACTTTTGAGGGTGATAAATATGTTCATTTTCTTGATTGTAATAATGGTTTCAAAGGTGTATACAGAAGTCAAAACTTACTAAGTTATACACTTTAATTATATGTAAAAGAAACTTGAAAAAGAAACCAAGTGTTAGGATTTGTAAAGCTGAGCAGTAACTACACAGGTTTCCGTTACACTATGTGTTTTCTGGACTTAATAACAAAACATTTACATTCAATTAAAAAAGAAAACTAGATTTCCCACACTTCAGATAGCTTACTTAATAAACTAGTGGAAACAATAAGTTTTCATGAAAACAGGGCCCTTGTCTGTTTTATTCACCATTGTGTCTCAGTTCTCAGCACAGTGCCTAGAAGCACTCATCATACACTCCAAAATCATTTATTTAATAAATTATGAATAAATTCAGCTTATTCATAACTACTGGTTATTTTCTTATTTTAAAGAAGCTTCTAGTTCCTTATGGTAAAGCTTGGAAGTTATGGGACAATTTTAGAGTGATTGCCCATACTGTGGAGAGTAGTTGATGAGATTGTCAGAAATTCTTATCTATCTATTTATCTATCTATCTATCTATCTATCTATCTATCTATCTATAATCTGTCTAATCACAAATCCTATATATATATGTATTCAGGCAGGTTGTACAACAAAGTCCAATTGGTTGCCTACAGGTGGCGTTCTGCTTGATTATTGAACATTTATTAGTCAGTGTCTGCAACCTACTGATTATAAACTATTTTTAATGTCATCCCTTTGCAAATGTCATCACATCAATATTCTTGGGTTCAAGCACTCCTGATGCTACACATACTTCCAACAGGTTTTTGTTCAAGTTCTGTATAGGCATCCTTTGGCATGCACTCTGCACCTAACTCCTTTACTCTACCATCACTCACACTGCTCAGGCCAAATGATTTGACACTGGTTTGATTTTGTCCCCCTAGTTAAACTCTAACTTCCATTTTTTTTCACTGCCGAGTGATGTGATAAATCCCAATTCCAAAATAGACTAATATATTTAGTCCCCTCTTCCTGAGCTTTTATATGGGATTCTAAACTAAATCTGGTACATGTTCACTTATTGACTTCAAATATTTCAAAGAGTTTTGGCAGGCAACTTATTAACCTATGAACTTTAGCTCACTGAATAAGAGTTATAAAATACATTAGAAATACAAAATACTTGGGTCCTGTATCCAAGTTTTGGCCCAAGTCTGTGTGCTGAACTTCTGCCATGGACATGCAATAGATCACCTGTCAATGTGCCAGGGTTAGAAATTTTTTAAAGGAAAATTTCTGGCTTTGGAGGTGGCTCTGTTTGGAAGACAAAGTGAGTACCACAAAAAAAGGCACATTAATAAACATTTATTGAACTGTATTAAATTTAATTGAAATTAATTGAATTTGGATGGTGGCTACAATTGCAACTGCTCCCATTTCTTGGCTGAATTCGTTTTGGTTTAGAACTCAGTTTGAGCAAGGACTAGAGAAGTGGAAAATCTTCAATGTCACCTTCAAAGTTGAATTACTTTACATTAGGAAAAGAGTATTAGGTAATATTGCTGATTTAAATGTTTATCATAATTTCCTTTGGAAAAAAATAATTTCAACGAAGTAAGTCAGATTTTTCTTCACATAAAGTTCACTATTCTAGCCTTTACGTATGTCTCAACTTCTTACAGTCAAATTTGACTCTTCAATCTAGAATTATTAGAATTTCCCCTGGACACCATTGAAAATATAAAAATTATCTATGATTTTATAAGTTTTAGAATTATAAATGTCTCACCTCCATACTGAATAAGTCACTACAGTGTATAGATTCTAGCTCTTAAATATCTGTTTTCAACCCTTTTGAAACTAGTGTTTCCTTTTTAAAATGAATATTTTATAAAACCTCCTCGGTACATAAAATTAACCTTCACACATACATTTTATTATTAACTATAATATAAAGGAGTTACAAAAGAATAATTATATATTACATAACATTAATAACATATAAATATTTGGGCATAACTATATTAGAAGACGCAGTGCTGTGGTAATATACTTCCACCTACTTATAAACAGGCTAGTATTTAAGAGAAAGTAGACCAATATTCAAATAAATAGTGAGAATATTTTTCCTTTACATTAGATATTTTGAATATGTTTTAAAAACCATTTATTTTTATTTATTTTGAGAGTGAAAGACAGCACTAGCAGGGAGGGGCAGAAAGAGAGAAGAGAGAATCCCAAGCAGGCTCTGGGCTGTCAGAGCAGAGCCTGATGGGGGTCTTGAACTCATGAGCAGATCATTACTTGAGCCAAAAGCAAGAGTTGAGGGGTGCCTGGGTGGCTCGGTCAGTTAAGCAGCCGACTTTGGCTCAGGTCATGATCTCCCAGTTTGTGAGTTCGAGCCCCACATCAGGCTGTGTGCTGACAGCTCAGAGCCTGGAGCCTGCTTGGGATTCTGTGTCTCCTTCTCTCTCTGCCCCTCCCCCACTTGTGCTCTAGCTCTATCAAAAATAAACAAAATATTAAAACAAAAAATCAAGAGTCGGATGCTTAACTGACTGAGCCACCCAGGCACCCCTCTATTAGACATTTTGAAGGAAGATTCACTTTGGATGCAATAACTAAAAATGCAAACTGATACAGTTGGGTTGTATTGGTGATTCAAATAGCATGAGCAGCATGGCTGTCAGAAATAAAATTTTGTAAAGTTCCAAACAAAACAATATATATTTTCCTTTCAATAAATACTGTAGCTGCATTCCTGGAAAATTCAGTGTATATTAAAACCATACTATAAGTATTTGCAGTTTAAATGTAAGATGGAGTTGTTTCTAGGATGATTATAATCTGGTTTTTCATCTGCAAGAATGTCTAGAGGGATATTTGATATATATGTGGGAAGCAGAATTATTTTTCATTGTGTATTACTGCCCTCTAATTACAGGAGTTCTAATATCCCTGGCATCTATGCGCTAAATGTCAATCACTGGGACAACCAGAAAATGACTCCACAAATATCCAAAATGCCCACCAGGGGCAGTGTCACCCTGTTGAGAACCACTGGTCTATACAATCTGCTCCTGCCTTGCCAATCTTTCACAGCTACTTTAGTTTGGTTCTGCAACAACTAAACACTTGGACCTCCTACCTTCTCTCCCTACCCTCAGTCTTCTCTGCTTGTATTTCACCCTTCTGACAGATAGCAAAAGTATATTTCTAAAATGCATGTCTGATCATGTCATTTCATAGCTGAATATGGTCAGAGGCTCCCCAGCACTATAGAATGAAGTCAAACTTTTTAGAACGGAGGGCAGCAATCTGTTCACATTATATTTCAAATTTTTACCACTCTCTTGAATGTGTGTTGTGGTCTTACCCATGTAGTCTCTAGAACTGAACAAGTTCTCTCTTTCCACCAAGTTGGCCATCTTTGGTCTGGTGAGTTCTTCCTAATAATTCATAATGCAACTCAAGTATTGCTTCCCCAGTGAAGCCCTCTCCAGTCAGCTCCCCACTCTACCCCTGACCCAGGCGCTTATCATGTTCTACAACTATTAGTTTGTCTCTACCACTAGACTGTGAATTTAATCTGACAGCAGCAATTTTTCTGCTATCTACCTTTGTGTCCCAAGAACATCAAGAGGGTGGAGGCCTTATGGTAAGGTCTTAAAAAGTTAAACACGTTTAAAATTGAATGATCTTGGGGCGCCTGGGAGGCGCAGTCGGTTAAGCGTCCAACTTCAGCCAGGTCACGATCTCGCGGTCCGTGAGTTCGAGCCCCGTGTCAGGCTCTGGGCTGATGGCTCGGAGCCTGGAGCCTGTTTCCGATTCTGGGTCTCCCTCTCTCTCTGCCCCTCCCCCGTTCATGCTCTGTCTCTCTCTGTCCCAAAAATAAATTAAAAAAAAAAAGTTAAAAAAAAAATAAATAAATAAAATTGAATGATCTTGTAATGTTAACTATGTGGAGTTCTGCAGATTACCATGTAATCATCTTTATTTACCTTTCAATATTTTCTCACCCTTGAAGAATCACATATTGCACCCAGTTTAATCTTTCCATCTATTACAGCTTTTTATCTTGTTCATGTTCTTTCTTAAGTATTTATTTAAACTCCAATAAATTTTGAAACATCTTAGTTATATTTTCCTTTTACTAGCTCCACCCCTCCACTATACTGACTCATGAAAAAAATATGTCCTTTTTGACCCAACCCTGGTTTATATTTTATTTAATTTGAGTAAAGTTAATTAAGTTAACTTTACTTATTTAATTTACTTTACTTAATTTAATTTGTCTTTAATTTACTTCTTTATATCTCAGACAAGAAGCCCATTTCTTTCTAAAAGAATTTGAAATCAGCTCTTGATTGCTCAAGAAACAATCAGCTCATTGTTCCTTTCATCAACAATTTTTAAAAATTGTTTTCTCCGTGAGTGGATACATATAACCTCAGGTTGATTGTTGTGGTTTTAAGTGTTGTTTCATGGTTTTATGACATAAGCGCTTGATGTTATTCACCAATACTTGATTTTGTTTTATATTTTTCAGATTTGAAAGTGTTTATCAATTTCTTTGCTAATTTAAGGCAGAGACCAAAATTTAATAGTTTTACATAATGTTGATGTTTGTCCATGTTGGACTGTTTGGCTTCCCTCTGCTGGTTTTCATGAGAGTGGCCATAATCAGTCACCCCCGCCCTTTTTTTAATATTACATTATTCTTTGCCTTCCTAGGACTTAACAGCAATATTCCAATAATTTACTAATGACTTTCCTTTGGGTCATTAGAAGAAAAATGGTTCCTGTAGAAACAATTTAAATAAATGATAGTGCAGAGACATTTTCCTGGAGGCTACAAAGTGACCTATTGAAATACACTAAATTGTTCTTCTCCATTAGGACATTCAGATCCTCCTTTTATTTCGTTTTGGAATGAAAGAATAAATGGGGAACGAATATGCTCTGAGATCCTCTGGCCTGCTCTAGAGCATATAAATAGCATCTCACACAAAAAATTTCCAAGATGTCAGGAACAAGGCAAGTATGATAATTTAAGATAATTAAAATTCTTAAGATGAGCAAAATAGAATGGATTCTAGTAAGCTTTTCTCACTCAAAGGAAACTTCTTTAAAATGTAGTTACTGATCTAAATGTCTTTCAATAAGGCAATTAAAAAATGTGGTATAACAATTCAAACCATGGAATATTTTGCAGCCTTTAAAAAAGAAGAAAGCAAACCTCTGTGTATGGATATAGAATGATATACATGGTTGTCCTAAATTAGAAAAATTATGAATAATGCATATACTGTGATCCCATTCATATAAAAAATAGCAGAATCACAAGTGAAATATATACAAAGGAGAGGAGATTGGAAAGCTACACATACATCAAACTGCAGTCAATGTTGTGCATTGAAAGCTTTAGTTTCTACGTCTGTTTCTTCCACCAGGTTATGTGTTCCTTGGTTACCAGATCAAATAAATGGATGCCCAGTTAGATTTTTTTTTAATGTTTTTTTTTTTTTTTTTTTTTTTTTTTGAGAGAGAGACAGTGTGAGCAGTGAAGAGACAGAGAGAAGGGGAGATACAGAATCTGAACCAGGCTCCAGGCTCTGAGCTGTCAGCACAGAGCCTGATGTGGGGCTCCAACCCACAAACCATGAGATTATGACCTGAGCCGAAAGGGGGTGCTCAACCAACTAAACCACCCAGGCGCCCCCCAGTTAGCTTAGAATTTCAAGTGGAACGGATTTTTTTAAGTACATCTCAAATATTACACAGGACATACTTAATACTAAAATATTATTCATTATTTATCTGAAATTGAAATTTTTATTTTTTTATTTGTGAATTCTGGCATTTCTACTTTAAGGAGACCATAAACCATTCATCCTTGTACTCCTATCATTAGCATATTTACAGATATATAGTGGTTGCACAATAAATCATGAGAGGGAGAATAATTAAGGAGAGCACAATAATAAAGGCAATTTTGCTAAGTGTGTTACATACATTATCTCAATTCTAATGGAAATGCCTTAAAGTTCTCTTAGTGGTCATATTTTACAGATTAAGGAACAGAGGTATACAAAAGTCACACAGTAAATGGAGGAGCTAGAAATGACCCCAAGTTTCTGGGTCCTGATTCAGCAGCCATAACCAAGTGCCAGCTGCAGGGAGGAAAAGAGAGAAAAGAAGGGGAAAGAACCAGGGGCGAGGCTTTGATTTTGCCTAAGTGTAGCTGAGCAGGCCTACACAAAGTCTTTAACCTTGCTGGAGGTGGAATGTGGGATATGTAGGAGAGGCAGATAAATCTGGGCCTTGTCCCCATATCCACCACGCATTAGAACAAGTTACATAATTTATTTTTGCCTCAATTTCTTGCCCGTACAACTGGAGTAAGAACACCTGAGTACTGACACGATGAATAAAGGAGATAATTTCTGTAAAGTGATCAGCACAGGGCTTGGCCAGTGAAAGAACACTAAGTCAATGCTAGTTATTCTTGGCCCAGAACCCCAGTTTTTTCATTTAAAAAAACTCCCAAAACAGAATAACAACATCAATAAAAAGACAGTGATATGAATAATATCAATAATGCCAAGTTGATTTGAGGATCAGATGAGAAATATGTATTATCTCTCTAAATTCTAAAGTGCTTCTCTTTCTCCTCAACAGAGTACTTGCTCTTCAGATCAGAATCAGAATCAATGTCATGCCAGAACATTATTACAATGTTTCCCCTGAGTAATTCATTTTGCTTTAAAAATTATCATACATGAGCACTGGGTGTTGTATGGAAACCAATTTGACAATAAATTTCATATATATAAAAAAAAAAGAAAAAAAGAAAAATAAGGTGACAATCTTAAAAAAAAAATAAAAAAAAATAAAAAATAAATAAAAATTATCATACAGTAAAATCGACTCTTTTCGGTAAAGTTTTATGAATTTTAAACCATGTACAGATTCATGTAACCACTACCACAGTCCAGATACAGAACATGACTGTAGCTTTTGAGATTCTTTTTTCAAAGCATTTCACATTCTTGTTGCAAAACAGTTTTAAAAAGAAGAAAAAAAAAGAATTTAGATAACTGTGAAGATACGAATTAACAAGACTGGCTTTTTGTACAAATCACTGCAGTCTCCAACACCTCTAGGCCTTGTCTGGGCCATTTTTGCTGTTGACTCTGCAGACCGTTTCCACCAAAGTAATCAGGAATCAGGTTGAGAATCGGGGCATTTCTTCCGGCTAAAGGCACGTGTCACAGGCCCAAACTTCAGCATTCCCTATTTGCTCCTTTTTATATTATCTTCCAGATCTTAATTTTCCCAACTATTTCCTCTAATTGCCATTCTCTCTCTAAAATGAAGAAGCCTGGAATGCCAGCACCTTCTCATCCCTTCGGGACAATTATTGGACAGAGTTATTCAGAGAGCAACGCTGGACCCCTCAGGACCCTAAACCTCTGGGATATAACAGATTCTCCAGGTAACAATCTATCCCTTTTCCATCCTCTCCACCTCCCCAGCCTGCCAGGCACTCCCAGGGAGGACAGACATCTGGACCAAACTTCCGTCCTCCAAGGGCCGCCCACGTCCCATCCCCCATCTCGTGGGCTCTCCCATCTTAAGGGACTTGCACTGACACACCGCTGCCACATCCGCTTTCTGGGTGACTCAAGTCATTGCTATTTGCCTTTTCTTTCTAGCATGCTTTGGCTGCTGTTTTCTTCCCTCTGCTTTTAATTTGGGGAGGAGAAAAGCTAATGAACCAAGAACGAATCTCCTCTCCACGAATCCTTTCCCCCCTTAAAGTTGGCTCTCAAGTTCCGGAACTATCCTAGAAGTGCGGGGGCGGGACAGGTGGGGATGCATTAATTACACCTAAACCTTAAATTGGCATGTAACGTTATCACTCGGGTGGGAAGACTTTCTGAAGCTCCCTTGCAGCTTGCTGGGCATTTTGCTGCTGCCGCTGTACATTTTCTGCTCATTTCTTAATGCTGCTGCTTCATGTGCTTCTGTCACCCCTAAATCTATCTCTACGGCCCAAGATGCCCAAATCAGGGTGAATTCCACGAGATTCACCAGCGGTTTTCTTCCTGTCCAAGGTAAATACATTATGCAAAATGAGGAACCACCAAAGGATGCAGGCTAAGGGGGAGAGAAAGGGATTCCCTCACCTTTCCTGGCACATCTCTCGTTAATTTCCACCGGAAGGAGGCGCGCGGCCCAGATCCCCCCAGTCTCCTTTCTTAAATCCCCCAACCGAGGGCTGCAAAGGTTGGCGGCGCGGCGGGAGAAGTCCCTCTAGCAGGCCTGGCTCTCCCCCGCCCCCAGGGTTGGTTTTTCCCAGCTGCGGAGGTTGGGCCAGGGGCAGGGGTGCGAGGAGAGTCGGCGCCCGCTGCGCGGAGCCGGGAAGTCGCCGCGACTCCGGTGAGACTCAGAGTTGTCTCCGGAGGTGACGGGCGCGGAGGTGAGCGGTGGGGAGCAAGCGGCGACGGCGAAAACGCGGAGGCTGCGCCGTGGCCCCTTACCATCTTTTGAAGGGATAGTAGCGTAGGTCCAGGGTCCCACCGCCGCTTTGTTCGCAGCCTCTCCCTAAGGTACTCTTCGGAGATGACTTGAACCCCCTCTGGGATCCGAGGGTCTGGCTGGGGCGGGGGGGTGGGGGGGGGGGGAGCGACAGCTGTTAGGTCCTCCATTTCCTGCTAATCCGGGAAGGTACCAAAAGAGATGAAAAGACTCCTGTAACCTGAAACTTCCCTCCGTTCCAAACCTGGACCGGGAGGTGAGGTTCGGGCGGGGGCGGAGACCCCGGAAGGCGGGTCGCCAGCCGAGGCGGTGGGGGACGGAGCTAGGAGAGAGTGAGAAGTTTGGTCAGGAAGACGCTGGGGATTAAGAAGTTAGACTCGGGGGACGAATCTGATCGGGAAAGAGGAGGGCGGGGGGCTGGAAGAGTGTATATATAGTGTGGGCCTGGGCAGAAGGAAGACTTTACGCTCGGTGTCTCGGGACGCGCGCCCCTCTCCCGGGGAAAGATGTGCGTGGGAGTGGGGGAGGCGAAGCCTGGACGGTGTTTCGGAGGGAGGTCCTGGGGACCGAGTGGGGACGACTTGGCTTGGGGAGTCCGGCTCCCGCACTCGGGGAGCTGCGGCCGCCGCCGCTCCTCACGCTTCTCTCCCGCCTGTCCCAGGTCCTGAAGCGGATCGAGCGCGAGGCGCCAACAAAAGAGACAAGAGGGTGCCACCCGGGGGCGGCGGCAGGAAGAAGAGCGGGAGGAAGAGCGCGGAGCTGAACGTCCCGAGCCTCCGTGCGTACTTTTTAGAGGGAAGGGGCGGGGGAATCGGCCCCGGGAGGGGGACGCCGGGTGACGAGGGGTTTAGCCAAGTTCCGGCTGCGGCGTCCCTCCTCTGCTCCCACGAGAGGAAAGTTTTCTCCAGACGCTTCCGGCCGGCCGGCGCCCTCCGGACCAGCTCCCGAGCCTTCGGAGCGGGCGCCGTCCCAGCCCAGCTCCGGGGAAAGCCGCGCCGCGATGCCTGGGGGGTGCTCCCGGGGCCCCGCCGCCGGAGACGGGCGGCTGCGGCTGGCGCGGCTGGCGCTGGTCCTCCTGGGCTGGGTCTCTTCGTCCTCTCTCACTTCCTCGGCGCCCTCCACCTCCTCCACGTCGTTCCTGGCCTCCGCGGTGTCCGCCCAGCCCCCGCTGCCGGGCCAATGCCCCCAGCTTTGCGAGTGCTCCGAGGCGGCGCGCACTGTCAAGTGCGTTAACCGCAACCTGACCGAGGTGCCCGCGGACCTGCCCCCCTACGTGCGCAACCTCTTCCTCACCGGCAATCAGCTGGCCGTGCTCCCCGCCGGCGCCTTCGCCCGCCGGCCGCCGCTGGCGGAGCTGGCCGCGCTCAACCTCAGCGGCAGCCGCCTGCAGGAGGTGCGCGCCGGCGCCTTCGAGCATCTGCCCAGCCTGCGGCAGCTCGACCTCAGCCACAACCCGCTGGCCCACCTCAGCCCCTTCACCTTCTCGGGCAGCAACGCCAGCTTCTCGGCCCCCAGCCCCCTGGTGGAACTGATGCTGAACCACATCGTGCCCCCTGAGGACCACCGGCAGAACCGGAGCTTCGAGGGTATGGTGGCGGCGTCCCTACGCGCCGGCCATGCGCTTCGCGGGCTCCAGCGCCTCGAACTGGCCAGCAACCACTTCCTCTTCTTGCCTCGGGACGTACTGGCCCACCTACCCGGCCTCAGGCACCTGGACCTGCGCAACAACTCGCTGGTGAGCCTAACTTACGTGTCCTTCCGCAACCTGACACACCTACAAAGCCTCCACCTGGAGGACAACGCCCTCAAGGTCCTTCACAACGGCACCCTGGCGGAGTTGCAGAGCCTGCCCCACGTCAGGGTCTTCCTGGACAACAATCCCTGGGTCTGCGACTGCCACATGGTGGACATGGTGGCCTGGCTCAAGGAGACAGAGGTAGTGCAGGGCAAAGCCAGGCTCGCCTGTGCATTCCCGGAAAAAATGAGGAATCGGGCCCTTTTGGAACTCAACAGCTCCCACCTGGAGTGTGACCCTATCCTCCCTCCATCCCTGCAGACTTCTTATGTCTTTCTAGGTATTGTTTTAGCCCTGATAGGTGCCATTTTCTTACTGGTTTTGTACTTGAACCGCAAGGGGATAAAAAAGTGGATGCATAACATCAGAGATGCCTGCAGGGATCACATGGAAGGGTATCACTACAGATATGAAATCAACGCGGACCCCAGGTTAACAAACCTCAGTTCTAATTCGGATGTCTGAGAAACATTCGAGGACAGCTATGCATGAGATGTAGACTTAAGCTTTATTCTGTCCTAAGCTTGCTCCACTTCCACTCTCCACTATGGACACCACTGACCTTGACTGAAAGCAGTGAAGGGAATTTGCTCCCTTGTTATGTGAAGTGTCTTGGTGTGTCCTGTTAATGTAAGACGATGAAAAGCTGTGCGTAGTGTTTTATCTTCTTCCTTTTCTTGGAACTCAACTCGTGTGGATGGATTTTTCAAGTTTCAGCATGAACATGGACTCCCGGCTGTCTGTTTCTCTTAGTACAGTTCGAGGGGTAGCCAGTGTACCCGTAACACGGATAGCATTCAACAAGAGCTGCCTCAACTTTTTTGAGAAAAATACTTTATTCATAAATATCAGTTTTATTCTCATGTACATAAATTGTGGAGAAAATAAATGCATTCCATAGACTGCCTGCAGATCTTAGCAAGCTCTTCAAAGTTAACTCCATAGTACACAGGAGCACCTGCATCCGAGAGCATGCTTACATTTTACTGTTCTACTTATTACAGAGAATAACTTGCAACTTCAGATAACTTCTTTGACAAAGTAAATTACTTTTTTGGTTGCAGTTTATATGAAACTGAAGTTTTTTTAATAAACTGCATTGAGATCCAACAGACTAAATTGTTAAGAAAAACTTCAATAAAGATTCTTAAAAGAACTACAGTTGTGTTCAAGTTTGCTATTTGAAATAAAAAGGAGTAGGAGTAATGTCTTCTATAAATAGATTTTGGGAATAGTTTTGAGATGGTGGATCCATTCAGGATTTAAACAGAGTTGAATATTCATGTGATAGACATCTCATGGTCCCAAAGTTAATGCTATTCATGAAGCAATTTTGAAAGAGTGTTATAAAGTTGGTAAGGTAAGAGGGAAGAGTTCTGCATCTTAAACAGCTCACAGTTTGGAGCTTTTTCTAGACTACGTTGTTAGAATGGAACAAAATTATTTGCTTAATAAAACTTTATATATGAAATTGTTCTGCGGGTTTTTAGAGCAGACCAGGAAACATCTAATGCAAATAAATGTTTCCAAACGAAGTGTCTTAAAGAAACAGAATATCCTAAAATAAGAGACTTAAAAATGTAAATTAAAAAACATTTCCTAAGATCATAATGTAAATTGGAACTTAGATTTTCTTGAGAATATTTTTTCAAAAACATTTAAAATGGAATATACATGGTCAATAGTTTATCAGAGATCCTGCTTGTATGTTTAGAAAACCGTCATGATAGGCTATGTATTTGAGGCAATAGCCACAGATAAATGTCTATGTCCATAAACAAGTGTCTCAACTAATCATAGGTTATGTTCAGTTCAGTATTTAAGAATTTGGGGATATTCCGATTTTGCCTAAGCTCTACATACACCTTTGTGAAGAATAAATCACATTTAAGAGTAAATAAAAGCAATTGGTTAATCAATTGACACTATCAATAATAGACAAGATTTTCTTTTGCTCAGTTTGTTATGAGCCAATTAAACTTAAAAGTAAATTCCATTAATCTCCAAGCTATTATATACAGTGACTTAAATTTAGTTGTTATTACTTTACATACAGTGTAGGTAAACTTGTATCAGTAAGTCTCAGGGCCTTCTTTCTCTTTAAATTGATTATGTTTTACAGTGTTTTATATTTGAAATAAAATTTCCATTTCCATATTTTTATAAATGAAATTGGAATGTAGAACTTTAGGTTCTAGTGGTCTTTGCCTATTTCTTCTCTGAGTTAAACTGGGAAGTTTTCAAAATAGGGCTAAAGATGTATGAATCTGTTCCTTGTTTAGACTCTAGTTGGAATATGAAGTTTTAACTATATTAACTTTCATAAGGCTCATTTTATGAAATATTACAGTATTTATTACTTACAGGTTCTATTTCAGATCCTATAACTAATCACCCGAGAAAAGGTTAAATATACGGTACTAAATATTCCATTAAACATTTTAAGTGTTCACCAGGAATTCATAAACTGGCTGGCTGCCATTATTTCCTAGGAATGATGAAGATATTAGCCTGCCAAAAATAGTGAAAGTATCTAATAAATAAGGGCACACACACCATGTTAGAAGTAGGCTACTGATGGACTTTCACTGGGAAGTCTGCTGCTACTGTGGAAAACAAATTGTAATACTTATAGTCTATTTAGAAGAATTCTTTAGTCCTCATATAATAACCTGTTAAAAACTGAGCTGTATCTAAGATCCAGGGAAGCAGTAAATTCATTAGTTTTTCTCATCTACTCACTGAAGCAAGATCTGGAGTAAAGTGAAGCTGTTTTCACTTTAGGTGGATGGCTTTTTTGAAGTTAACGATTTCTTGCTTCTTTTTCATCCCCTTGTTTCTTCCTTTGTGTGAACTTCCCAATTTGCTACTGCTCCCTTTTCTGTCACATCACTCCTTGCTATTCTCCAATACATGGCAAATAGAACATTCTTCTGACAAAAAATATTACTCTTTGGAAACAATTGCTATTGTGCAGTCATAATACTCGAAGTCTATAACTTCTAAGGTAGTCTGAGATAAATCCAATATGTATAAGTGAAT